ACAGTAACGGTCAGTGAACAACAGACTGAGGGGGTGGAAGGTCTAACCCAAGAGGCAGCCCCCCAGGTGTGAGTGGCAAGGGGTCAGCAGGATGGAAACAGTCCCAATCCCAGAGCAGGAACCAGAGGCACGGCAGAAACGCAGACATGTCCGCATCCCTCCCACCCCACAGCACAGGTGCTCCCCGCTTCCCCATCGATTGCCCCATCCTCATCCCAGGCCTCAGCTCACAGGAAGTGATGGCAGAGTCACTTCTTACCCAGGCACCTCTGACCTCTCACCTCCACACCCCCACCCATCAGAGGCTGATTCCCCCAGTGAGAAGGCATCAGACTCACCCCTGACCTGGGAGGTTGCCTGGAGAGTGAGCCACTCTCCAAGTCGCTCAGACCTGGGCTCAGCTGGTGGCTCTGCCAGTCCCAGCTGTTGACAGTGAGACGCTCCCAAAATATCTGGTTGAAATCTGCAAACACTGGAGCATTGAGACCTACCTCCAAACAGTTTTGTAATATTTAACTTTGTCTATTCCATGAAGGATATCACAGTCTGTCCTGATCTCCCTTGCAGCTCCATCGCCTAGGACAGGGTGCAGCCAATATTTGCTCAATTGAAATGTGTGGAATGAACAGAGAAAAGCAGCCGGCACACATGGTAGCCCATGCTGGGGGCTCAGGAAGTGCTGGATTCAAAACCGCAGGCTGTTTGTTAGAGTTCCCTGGAACCCTAAAGTTTCTCCTTTCCATAAGATGCAGACCCGGGAAGGGCCACCTGCACTGTGGTTGGAGGAGCTGGTGGCAGAGCCTGTGTAGAGATGGTCCCTGTGTCCCCAGCCCAGCACTCTTTCTCCTAAACCACACTGCTGGCCCCAAGGCAGCCAACCTCAGGCCTGGTGAACTGCTGATGTTAAATTATCATAGAGTGGGTGTCAAAAGATGGGCTTCTAAGTACAAAAATGCCCAAGATGCTACATGGGATCTGAAGGTTTCCAAAAAGAGCAAGAAAGAGACAGGCAGACATTTGAAGGGTGTGGGATGGGAGATCTTGGAAACGAAAATGGCCCAGGCTGTGTGTCAGCAATAGGAGAGGCGGGGGCACAGGTGATCAGGAAAGACACTGGAAGAAGCTTTGATGGACAGAAATAGAATTGATAGGAGGAAGAAGAGAGATGGACACAGGGTATTAGAAAATAATCGTGGCCTAGCGCGGTGGCTCACGCCTGTAATCCCAGCACTTTGGGAGGCCAAGGAGGGCGGATCACGAGGTCAAGAGATCAAGACCATCCTGGCCAACATGGTGAAACCCTGTCTCCACTAAAAATACAAAAATCAGCTGGGCATGGTGGTGCGCGCCTGTAGTCCCAGCTACTCAGGAGGCTGAGGCAGGAGAATTGCTTGAACCCAGGAGGCAGAGGTTGTGGTGAGCCGAGATCTCGCCATTGCACTCCAGCCTGGTGCCTGGCGACGGAGCGAGACTCTGTCTCAAGAAAAGAAAAGAAAAGAATCTTAGGCAGGGCGCATTGTAATCCCAATACTTTCAGAGGCTTAGGTGGGTGGATCACCTGAGGTCAGGAGTTTGAGATCAGCCTGGCCAACATGGTGAAACCCTGTCTGTACTAATAATACATAAAGCCTGGTGTGGTGGCATGCATCTGTGGTCCCAGCTACTCAGGAGGCTGAGGCAGGAGAATCACTTCAGGCGGAGGTTGCAGTGATCCTGCCATTGTACTCCAGCCTGGGCAACAAGAACAAAACTCTGTTAAAAAACAAAAAAAGAAATTAATAGTAGCTGACATTTACTGAGCACTTATTTTGTGCCAGGCTCATCTATGAGCATATTTAATGCTCAGAATAACCCCCTAAAATAGTGCTCTTGGCATTGCTATTTCAGAGGTGAGGGGAATAGAGGCACAGAGAAGTGAGTGGCTCCAGTTCAGGCAATACACCAGTTGGGAGCAGGAGACACCTGGGACTTGAGCCCAGACAGCCTGAGAGCTGCCAGAGTCTATGCCAACAGCACCAACCAGTGCTGGGTAAACACCTCTTTTATCATCAGGATGAAGAGGCTGTGTCCCCCGCCCTAAGGAGGTCCATTTCTGAGAGTTGTGGCTAATGGGCAGGAAGGTTGGGACTTTAGAGATTTGGAGATTTGGGATAAAGTTATCAACACCAGAAAGGAAGAAAGAAGTGATCAGGTTAGGGTTATTCAGGTGATGATATGAACTCCACCTAGAGCTGAGAGAAAAGGCGAGCCTTCCTTTAGTTATATGGAATCACAAATCATTTCTATCCAATTCAGAAGTACACTTTGGTGTAGTTGTGACAGCTTCCTCAGGACTCAGCTTAAATTCAAACAAGTAATTGTCCTTAGAAGAGATGCCGTAGAAGAGACAGAAATCTATCCATATTCTGTAGCTCTTTTTTGTGTGTGTGAGACAGAGTTTTGCTCTTGTCACATAGGCTAGAGTGCAATGGTGTGATCTCGGCTCACTGCAATCTCTGCCTCCTGGGTTCAAGTGGTTCTCCTGCCTCAGCCTCCCCAGTAGCTGGGACTATAGGTTACAGGCATGTATCACTACACCGGGTTATTTATTTATTTATCTGAGGTAGAGTCTTGCTCTGTCGTTCAGGCTGGAGTACAAAGGCATGATCTCGGCTTACTACAACTTCTGCCCCCCAGGTTCAAGCGATTCTTCTGCCTCAGCCTCCCGAGTAGCTGGGACTACAGGCGTGTGACAGCATACTGAGCTAATTTTTGTATTTTTAGTAGAGATGGGGTCTTACCATGTTGGCCAGGCTGGTCTTGAACTCCTGGCCTTAGGTGATCCTCCTGCCTCAAAGTACTGCCCCAAAAGTGCTGGGATTACAGGCATGAGCCACAGCACCCGGCTTGTAGCTCTCTTAAGGAGGAGCATACCCCAATTGAGACAAGCCTGAAATGCCAAACCAAACTGAGTTAGCCTCTCTCTGTCTGTTGTTGTGTGTTGGAGTAGTAACTTATTTGCCTTGATAAAAAGATTGCATGCTTGAATTGCAAAAACCTTTATTTCTTTTGGGTTGCCAAATGTACAGTACCAAGAGTTATTTTGATGAATTTCTCACCAGGCTGACTATCTCTCTGTGGGGTTGGGGGAATTTTCAGGGTTTCACACTTTGCAGGGACGGTTCGGTTGTGAGATCCAGAATAACAGAAGCACTGGAGCATCCTGGGAGTATACCTATGATGAAAGGGGCTACATTAAATTCAACAAAGAAATCCCAGCCTGGATCCCCTTGGACCCAGCAGCCCACATCACCAAGAAGAAGTGGGAGGCAGAACCCGTCTATGTGCTGCGGGCCAAGGCTTACCTGGAGGAGGAGTGCCCTGCGACTCTGCGGAAATACCTGAACTACAGCAAAAGTATCCTGGACCGGCAAGGTACTCACTGCTCCCTGCTCCCCAGTACTAAGTCCAGAATAAAAGATGATCTCAAGCTAGGAGCTCAGGCAACATCTGAGTCTGGTCTTATCTGTTCCTGGATGTTCTCTCAGACCCCCCGCTTTCATCTTGTAGGATTGTCATCCCTTCCCTGGGATGACATAATTTGTGGTCTGAAAAGAACATCTTCAAAATTTCAGGCAGAATGTGCCAGGAAGTCCATTCTTTGTTGGTGGGTGTCCCCAAATCGTCTCCATTTGACAGACAAGGAGCTTGAGGTCAGAGAGGTTAGGGTAACACTGTCTGTGAGAGGCAGAGCTGGGACTCCAATTCCAGACTTCAGGTTCCCAATCCCATAGTTGTATCTCTCTACAATGACGCCTCCCATCTGAGTGGTGTAGAGAATGGAGGTGTGTAAAGTGTCAGCTCTGGAACGATGAGACCGAGCCAGTGTGAGAGGAATTGATGGCTGCAGGCTGAGACTTGGATTGGAGACGTGGTGAGACTCAGGAGTGTGCAGTGCTGCAGGGAAGAGGTTGCTGGATAGAGCCATGGGCTGAATCAAGCAGCTGGGCTGAGACTGGGGGAGAGGAGAACTCCAAGGCCCACTGAGATATGGGAAACGTGGGGAAGTG